TTCATGGTAGAAAATGGGGACAGGATCAGAATTCAGGGTCATGTTAGAGTTATTTAATTTTGTTGTTTGCTAAGTGAAATTCTAAGTAAATAGAGAAAAAATAAATGAAGCTAAAAGAATGAGTTCTGAGCACCATTGTAGGCACTTCACAAATGTATGCTTTATGTCTTTTTAAAAAAGTAGGCCATTAAGTATGCAATGCTAAGAGTAATTATATCTCACATATAAATACAAGTTAGTCTTTTAAACTCCAAATACCAATATATAGATAATTTATTGTGGTAATAATTATGCTTGTGATTTAACTTCAGAACCATATTTAGCTTCATTAGTATTTTAACAATAATAAGTAAAAATATATGTTGCCAACAAAATCTTACTTAAAGTATAATCATCTTAAAGTGTCAATAATAAAGTCCTGGCTGGCATAGCTCAGTGGATTGAGTGCAGGCTGCAAAACAAAGTGTTGCAGGTTCGATTCCCAGCCAGGGTACATGCCTGGGTTGCAGGCTATAACCCCCAGCAACCGCACATTGATGTTTCTCTCTCTCTCTCTCCCTCCCTTCCCTCTCTAAAAATAAATAAATAAAATCTTTAAAAAAAGAGTCAATAATAATGTCTGAGAAGTTGTGTAAATATCATATTTACTCAGAATTCTTTTTTGTGCCTTTATTTTTTAATTAATGGGAAAGGAGACTTTTAAGATTTAACTGTAAATATATATCATAGAACAAATTATTCCCACTGATTCAATTTGAAAATATCAAATAACATGCTTGATTTAAATAAACATATATTAATATGAAAACAATGTTTTCTTTTTTCTTCTTACTTGTTTTTCTTTTATTCTTTCCTTTATTTTTAATTAAATTTATTGGTGTGACTTTGGTTAATAGGATCATGTAGGTCTCAGGTGTATGTTTCTTTGAGAGAAGCTCTATATACTGCACTGTGTGCACAGCACCTTTAGTGTGAAAGAGCTATTGGTGACACCAATTCTTGGGTAGGATTTGTGACACAGAAACAAGATCCCAAAATAAATTTGTTGAAATCATTGCTTTCAATTGCAGCAGATATTACAGACAATTCATATACTGCTTCTTGTTCTCATTTTGTGCTTTATCCCTTAAAGTTAATTTTTTCTAATCTGTTTTTATTTTGTCTTTAAAATCAATCTATGGTGCACATGGCAGAGATGCCTTTCTCTGACAGATAACAATGGAAATAAAGCTTAGTGAATTTGAATGGATTACCTGAAGTCACCAAGGCAAGAGAAAAAATCAGTTTAGGATGAGAATCTCCTAGTTCCAATGCTCCTGAGGCATTCCACTATTTCACATTGTCCCAAATAATTAACTAAAAACAAAACAAAAACAAAAATATAATTATTGTTCTTATTTATGCTAGATCAATCACCTCTGCTTTAAGAATAAGACAGATGTTCCTTGCCTGGTATGGCTTAGCAGATTGAGCGCTGGCCTGTGAACCAAAGTGTTGCCAGATCAATTCCCAGTTAGGGCACATGCTTGAGTTGTGGGCCAAATCTCCCATAAGGGACACATGAGAGAGATCTCCCGTAGGGGACACATTGATGTTTCTCTCCTACTCTTTCTCCTTTCTTCCCCTCTCTCTAAAAATAAATTTAAAAAAATAACAAATATGTAAAAATAATATGCACCTTTGGATTTAGAATAGTTATATAGATACTTTATTAAATTCCCCATGACTAGAGGTGATTTAATTAGAGAACTGGTCTGTTCTTAATTTAGGTGACATCAAGTTTGTTTATGTGATATGGAGATGACAGAGGGAACTACCTGTTGGCTGGGAACAGAGAGGCCTTTCTCACTTCTGATTTGAAACTCTCCTGCTCTTATCACTGTTAGGAGGAACAGGAGAGACAAATTTTAGACATGGGCTATAGCAGCTTCTGTTCTGACACACAGGCTCCATGAGGAAAGTCATCCAGAGGGGTTCCCTGGATCCTTTTCTTAGCACAGATTGTTTTAGTGGATTTACTCATTTCCAAGATGGAAACATTGATACCACAAACTTAGATAAGGAAAGCACATTTGAGAAGAAGATGAGCAGTAGAGAAATGGCAGCTGAGGTCCCAAGGCTGGTGAGCTTTGGAAGGTTATCTTTACCTGTGCCAGTGACTTGTTAATGAGAAGACTGCATAATGCCAAGTGAGACTGAAAAGATCTGAACATCTGGATAGCAAGGTACCCGATTCACTGGTTTGGATGTGACTTCGGTGCAACTCTTCTGAACTCTCCTATCGGTTTATTTATTTCTTTAGATCTCTATATTTCTCAATAGTCTCTGAACTTCTTGAGTTATGAGATTTAATTTTACTCATATCTATCCCCAATTCCTAACCAAGGTCAAGCATAAAATAAGTTCTTATAAAAATGTATTGGACTGAACTAAAATAAATGATTAGGTCACTTCTAGCTCTACTTAGGGGAAAGTAGGATAAGGGGTATAATACTAAGAGAAATGTCATCAGTAACACATGAAAAGCCATAAGAATCTAATAAAAATGTTTACATGGTTTTGCACATTAAGCATGCTTAAGAAATATATAAATGCTATAATAATACAATATATTACCTTCAAAATATCTTACATTTGCTTATGGAACTGAGTGTCATAAGGGTTGTGAGTTATTGAGAAGTGGTGGAAGCAGTGCGATTTGAAATCGGAAGATAACTGTTACTACATATATGGATAGGTGAGGCTCGTCACACAGCTGCACACTGACCAGGATACTCCATGGTGTCTTCTGTGTGCACCTGTGTGCCCATGTGCATAGAACATTCTTGTAGGGCTCAGTTCAATTGATTTCAGTTTTTTGCCTCATCTACTATCTTCTGACTATAAAACAGGCCTAAACAAAATACAAGATTCCCATTCTGTTTAAATTGTTTCCCAATATATAGTGTAAAAGGTTTGCATTTTCAAAGAAGTGTGTGGGAGCTGTGTATGCACCTTCTCTCACCTGCGTCATATGCCAGGAGAATAGCGATGTCTAGCTCCACTTCCCACTCTCAGAATGATTGTGTCTGCAGAGGTGCTTTGCTTTGATTTTTGTTATTTCTCTTTTCTGAGAATCTGGTTCTGTTCTGTGTTTGTCAAATACCTCAAAATATTTTTCAAATATTTGTGGTGGGGAATAAAACTCAAAATATGCTTTGCTAGTTTATTTTTAAAACACATTTAACAAACAAAAATAATTCTATGTTTCTTATTAATTTTCCTGCAATTAGGTGAAATACTGTCCTTTAAGAATTTTATGGATAAGAGATATTGAAATGAAGAACAAACTGACAATTACCAGAGGGGAGGGAGCAATGTGGGAAAAAGGGGGAAGGGTCTTCAGGAACAACTAAAAGGACACATGGACAATACAAAGGGGGGTTGAGATGGCTGGAGTAGGGCGGAGTGGTGGAGAGAAAATAGAGACAACTGTACTTAAACAACAATAAAAAAATAAAGAACAAAACAAACTAACAAAACAGAAACATACTCACAGATACAGAAAGCAGATTGATGGGGGCCAGTGGAAAAAGGGGTTGGGGAACTGGGTGAAAAGGTAAAGGGATTGATAAATACAGATTGGTAGTCACAAAATAGTTATGGAGATGTAAAGTACAGCAAAGGCCATATAGTCAATAATGTTGTAATAACTATGTATCGTGCCAGTTAGGTACTGGAAATATCAGGGGGAGCAGTTTGTAAGTATATAATTGTCTAACAACTATACTACACACCTGAAACTAATACAAAATAATTGTAAAGGTAAACTATAAATGATAAAAAATAAATAAAAATGTAAAATAAAAGAAAAAAAGAATTTTACATATAAGAAATCAGCCTCAAAATTTCATTTATTTTCTTTAAAAAAATGTTACATCAAGTCTTTATGAAAGCTATTAATACCTTGAAATTTACCTTTAAACTGAATAACACATTTCTAAGTTTTTTGACTGGAGTTTTTCTAGATTTCATGAAATCTTTTTGTAATGCCCTGCAAGATTAATTGTAAACAAGAAAAAGAAATGGAAAAGAGTATTTGTACTGTTATGTAAATCCATCCTTCCTCTCTTCTTCCCTTCCTCCCTTTTTCCCTCTCTCCCTTCCTTCCTTCCTTCCTTCCTTCCTTCTTTCCTTCCTTCCTTTCCTCCTTCCTTCCCTCACCATTCCATTCTTTTAATACAACTTTATAAAAAAGCCTATTATGTACCAGATATATTCTCAAGGTTCCACAAAGGTCATGTCACCTATAAGAGAATACAAACAAATAAATAAAATACTACAAAACTTGTACATGACAGATATGGTCTGTGAAGAGCAGCATCCTCTGCATATGATTGGATGGTTAGGGGATAACCTACTAAAGTGAATATCATATTCAATACTGTACAAGTTCAGAACTATTATCTATTACTTTGTGGAATAGAAATGAAATATTAAAACTAGAGACTCATTTTTAAAAGACTTTTGCACAGTTGAGAATGAGCTATTCTAAATTGTTCTGTCCCTCTAGATACAACTATTACAAGAGTCATTAGGGCATGAATATTAGAGAGTAGTTTAACAATGTTTTCCTCTTTAATAATCTTCCTTCTTACAGAATAAGCTCAATAGCTGTTAACTCAAGGCTTTTCTCAAGTAGCTTATTCAAGGAATAGATGGGTAATTGGGCTTTTGAATTAGACAAATATAGATAAGAATTCTGGATGCACTATTTTCTAGTCTTGTGACCTTGGACAAAATCACATCTCTGAACTTTTTAGTGTCTCCAATTGTTCAGGAAACATGTAACTTTTTTAAGGTTGTTGAGAGTAGTAGATGCAACAACACATGAACATAAACAATGCTGGCCTTGTGAGAGCATGTAATTAACAAATGAAGGTGGATAATGGCATAATTCTTATGTTTATGGACTATCTCTCACTGATAAAATTTTTTCTCTTTCTGTCCTATTGCTTCAGACAACTGTGATGACCCATTAGCATCTCTGCTTTCTCCAATGGCTTTTTCCAGTTCCTCAGACCTCACTGGTACACACAGCCCTGCTCAACTCAACCGAAGACTTGGTGAGTAGGGTGATGGAATTTCTAAAGCACTGTGTAGACTCAGCACACCATGGGTAAATGGAAGAAAGTGCACCTCTGTACACTGAGATAATGTGCAAGAGCAGAACCCAGAGGAAGAATGCAGATAGGGGCTAACAGTGAAATAAATTATCTCTCAGCACAAAATGGATATTCAAATTTTGCTGATTCTTGTTACCCCAACCCACATTATTCTTCCTTGATTATCATGAGAAGCTTTTTAGAAGTATTAAAAAAACATTTGATTTATTTTAATGTATATTACATAAACAGCTACCAAAATATATTTATAAATATATTTATAAAAAGTATAAATAAAATCTACAAAGATTTTCCCATGATAGCTTTAATTTTACAGTAAAATAAATGTTGATTTTTTAAATATAAAATACTATTGAGTAAAAGAAAGAAAATAGAGAAATATATGATCCTACCCACTAGAGATACCCATGATTAAATGTTGGGTGTATATCTTTATAGTGTATGATAGAAATAAGAGCAGATGCCCCTAACTAATCTCTTATGTAAAATTTCTTTAGAAAATATAATGCTAGATATCTATATAGATATATTTAAATCAAATTTTGGTGTTGGTTTTTATTTTTATATTTATATATATAGTTGTATAGTTACTTGTTTTAATTTTTAAAGACTAAATGTCTGATACTTGTATATCTAATAAATGTTATAAACTCTTTTTCAATTTGAGAAAAAGAATTTTGTATATAACTTTAATAGATGCACTATTCTATTAGAGTTCTAATTAATTTCTCTTAGCTGTATTTTCCTTTTGATAAACAAAACCAATCACATTAGTAACCTTTTTCAATGTTGAGCTATGCATTCTGGAATAAGTTTTAATTGGTTATTGCATTATTGGTATTCCTTTTATAATCTATAGAATGATTTAATTTGTTGACATTTTAATTTATAATTTTGAATATTACTTGGGAACTTGATTTGTAATTTCATTTTTATATTTGTTTATTGTTTCATGCCATGTTTCACAGGTTTTATTTTTATTTAATGGGGTTAGTAACTTAAGTGTTAGCAAGTGCTATTTCTTTGTTGAGGAAGGAGTTTAAGAATATTATTTTAAGGAAAAAAGAATAGCCAATTATAAACCCAGCAGGATAATATTAATAATAATTTTTACTAATGTTACCCTTTGCTGAGTACTCTGTACCAAAACTCCTTGAGGCATTTTACCTATATAAACATTTTTCAGTCTTCACAATGATAAATAAGGTAAGAATTATTAACTTTTACCTTCAAGTATGGTTCTTGAGGGTCAGAGAAGTTTTGTAACTGAAATCAGAGTTAGGTAAGGGAAATGATTGCATTAAAATCTTAGTTATGCAGCTGACAATGACCCGAAGGGAGAGGGGAGGGAATTTCAGGGGAAAAGGGGAAGGGTTTAAAGGAACAAGTATAAAGGACACATGGACAAAAACTAGTGGGGTGAAAATGGGAGGGAGGTGGGGAGGGCTGGGGGTTGGGCTGGGATGGGAGTAAAAGACAGAAAACTGTACTTTTGGACAACAATTAAAATAAAACATAAAACAATAAAATGTCTGGAGCAATAAAAAAATAAAAAGCAAATTAGACACACACACACACAAAATCTTATTTATGCGAATCAAAGGTTTTACCCATAACAACCACATCAGCAAATTGATTCACTAACACAGGTTTAAAAAAAGTAACCATTCTTAGAAACAAGCTACCAGCCAGAGTTCAAATGCTAGCTATGGCATTTATTGATGAGATTTATAAATGTCTGCCAGTTAATCTGTTCCCAATCTCAGTTCTTTACCTGCAAAGTGGACCAGTATTGCCTATCTTGCAGCATCATGTGTACACTAAGAAGAGATGGGCATATAAAAAGAGCCTTCTCACTTCAGAGTGGAGCATTGCTCTGGAGCAAGGAGGTCCACTTGTGATTTCAGGGAAAACCACAGGTAGGCAAATTGTAATGCAGTCTCCAACAGGATATCCAAAGGCAAGGTTGCTTTGTCCCACTCAACTGTGCAGTATTAGAAAATCATTACTGTCTTATAGTTCCTTGGCAGTTTCTGGAGAAGCTGTGAGTCTGATTTTAGGCCAGATCCTTCCATAATAAACAGATATTGACAGGACACAGATGTTTCTGATCCAATGTATTACAATTGTCCTGATCAGAGCAGATTCTGGGTACCCAAGTCAAGGGCTTCAGAGTGTATGTAGAGCCCTGTCCTCCTCCTCTCAACCAGAGTCTACATTAGGAAGGCCATGTGAGAGACATAGTCATAGAGGTGGAATGCAGTGGCCTAGAGTTCATCTACCATCATATCTCCCAGAGATGGCAGCCTTCCCTCCCTTGTCTAGGCCGAACATGGCTCTCAGTGGAAATTAAACACAGATACAAGCAGACTGTAGATTCCTAGTTCTCATCCAAGCATTGTACATCTGAATTACCTAGAAAGCTTTACCAGTAGCAGTGCCTGAGCCTGTCTCTCAGCTACTCTGAATTAATTGTCTGGAATGGAACCCAAGCATGGATATTAAAAAAGTAAATAAACAAGCTTTCCAGATGAGTTCAAAATGAAGCACAAGTTGCAAACCACTAGATTTAATAAATTTGTAAATAACAAATCCATATATATATATGGATATATATATATATATGTGCCAGACAATGTGCTAGAACCTTGGCCCATAGTTGATAAAAGTAGGCACAGACTCTGTTCATAAGGTATTAACACACACCAATGGCATTTTTTATAGAACTAGAACAAATAATCAAAAATTTACATGGAAACACAGAAGACCCCAAATAACCAGAGCAACCTTGAGAAAGAAGAACAGAGTTAGAGGTATCATACTACCTGATATCAAACTATATTATAAGGCTATAATAATGAAAACAGCATGGTACTGGCATAAAAACAGACACATAGATCAATGAAACAATAGAGAACCCAGAGATAAACTTATGCCTGTATGGTCAATTAATACAGGGGTGAGAAAAAGTAGTTTTACAGTTGTGAGTACACAAAACATAGTTTATTCTTGTATTATTATTTATCATTGTATTAGTTTGTATTATTTATTTATATTACAACTGTAAACCTACTTTTACCCAACCTTGTATATGACAAAGGAGGCAAGAGTATACAATGGGATAATGACAGTCTCTTCAATAAATGGTGTTAGGAAAATTGGAAAGATACATATAAAAAAAGTAGACTACCTTATTACAACATATACAAGAGTAAACTCAAAATTGATTAAAGATTTGAATGTAAGTTTTAAAACCATAAAACTATTAGAAAAGAACATATACAGTAAAACCTTGAACATTTCTTTTAGCAATATTTTTTTCTGATATATCTCCTCTGGCAAGGGAAACAAAAAAAAGAGAAATGAATAAATAGGATGATATCAAACTAAAAAAGTTTTGGCAGAGCAAAGGAAACCATCAACAAAAAGAAAATCCACTGAATAGAAGAAGATATTCACCAATGATACATTCAATAAGGGGTGATATCCAAAATTATAAAGAACTCATGTAACTCAACACACACACTCACAAAAAAATCCAATTAAATGGGCAGAGGACAGAAGACCTGAATAGGCACTTCTCCAAAGGGAACATGCAAATGTTAAATAAACATATGAAAAGATGCTCAATGTCACTAATTATCAGAGAGATGCACATTAATAACTCAGTAACATATCTCCCCATCCTTCTAGAATCATTAACTTCAATAAATGAACAGACACCAGGTGTTACTGAGGATGTGGAGAAAAGGGAATGCTTGTGCACTGTTGGAATGCAAATTGGTACAGTCACTATGGAAAACAGCGTGAAGGGTCCTAAAAAATTAGAAATGAATCTGGCTATGCCCCAGTGACTTCAATGCTGGGTACATATTCAATAAATCTTAAAACACTAAAATGAAAGTATATATATATATATATATATATATATATATATATATATATATATATATATATACCACTATGTTTATTGTAGTGTTATTTACAATAGCCAAGATACAGATGCAACCCAAGTGCTTGTGTATCAACACATAGATGGTTAAAACATGGTGGTGCATGCATATAATGAAATATTACTTAACCATAAAAATAATGAAATCTTATCATTTATAACAGCATGGATCACCCCAGGGGGTATTATGTTAAGTAATAAGTCAGGGAATAAAATACAAGTATAATATGATTTAACTTACATGTGGAATCTGAAGGACAAAATTAACAAACGTAATAGAAACAGACTCATAGATAAAGAGAATAAATGGAGGGTTATCAGAGGGGAGGGGATTGCTGGGCTGAGTGAAAGAGGTGAAGGAATTAGGAAGTACAGATTAGCAGTTGCAAAATGGTCACAGGGATCTAAGGTAAAGCATAAGGAATATAGTTGATGAAATGGTAATAACAATGTATAGTGTCAGGAGTGTATCTGAAAGTGTATTATCACTGACCACTATGTTGTACACCTAAAGCTAATACAAAATAATAATGATGTAAACTGTAATTAAAAAAAATAACAAACATTTACATGCAGAATGCAAATTAACATATGATTAATTAACAGCTAATTTGGTAGTAATATATTGATATTAGTATTTTTCACATATATACAATATAAATCATTTTCATGTGTGTAGATACAAATACACATGGTAGTATATTTAGATTAAGTCATGTATATATAGATGTGATTGGATATATCCAGATTCAGAGATATATACAGAGAAGAGGATATATGCAGAGTTGAAAATACATATACATCCATTTCAAATAGAATATATATACACATAAATATAATATATGCATATATGAATGCATATAATATATTTCTGTACCTATTCACATAATGTATACATAGGGTATATGAATACAAACTATATAGTGCATATGTGCATATATAGTATATAGTATAACAAATGTATTTTGTAAATATTATTAAAAACAAA